AGCTTCCCTTTGAGACAATGAGGACATTGTCTGATTTAGCTTGGGGAAAGTTCTTGTGTACACAAGGTATATCTCTCACTCTTTTTTTCTATTTTAGTGTGTTTAGAATAGTAGTAAGATTTAATGCTTTCATCTGAAAAAAAAAATTGAAAAATTGAAAAATTTGCAAAAATACGAGAATCATGATAATGAATAGCCATTGAACTACTTCCCTGTGCCCCTATCCTTAATGATAAAAAGGTTTTGATTCAATGTTGATTGAAAGACTTGCATTGTGGACTAAAAGATCATGATTTGACCTTGAATTTGTTGATCCCCAATAGGAGTCAAAGTTATTTAACCATGTAGGATTCAGGAGCTTGACTGTGTTAACCGTGAGGCTTGAGCCTTATATATTATTTCTTGTGTGTGTTTAGTTCCTGGTGCAGCATTGATCTTAGTTTTGACTTTAGACTCTTAGTAGTGTGTCGTAATGCATTGCACGTGCATGTTGAAATGACGAAGGCCATGTTCATTAGGTAGCCTCCAGTCGAAATTAGAATATCCGTTCCCTTCGTGCTTACCCATGTTGTAGCTTGACTATATTTTTCGTAAACTCCACAAAAATTACCCCTCGGCCCCAATTTAATTACTTTTCCCAAGTCTACCTTGGGGGAGCTATTTTATGCGGTATTTTTGTGTGATTTTGTTTCAAGTTGCAATTGATGTGAAATATTTGAAAGAAAGAAAAAGAAGTGAGAAAAGGAGGAAATAAGCACGGAGGCTTGTTGAGGAATTTGAAAAAAGAAAAAGAAAAGAGAAACGAAGAGCAAAGAACAACAAGAAAACAAAAAGAAAAAGTTGAAATAAAAAAAAAAAAAAAGGAAGTGTCTTTGTTCTTGAAAAATGAATGAAACAATTGTTGGTTTGAAAAGGAAAAGTAAGAAAAAATAATAATAAAAAGAAGTTTGAAGTTGAGAAAGTAGGTGAAAGATATGATGGGTGCGTTTATATTATAGTCGAGTTTGTGTTTTGTTGATCGAATTTGGTGAATCGAGGTGTGACTCATTGCATATGATAGCTCCCCGGTTAAACTATTATAGCTCACATTCCCCAAATTATTTTCTTACCCATTCTTATTCCTGGCCTAAGTTACAAGCTTGAAAAAGTCCTTTCGATCTTCGTGCATAGCATTGTGTTCATGTGAATTGAGTCTTTTGTCAAAATGCTGGAGTATATGTTGCATTTCGAGTCGACATTGACTAGGTTGAGCGTTACTATAACCCTCTAAACACGCGAGCGTTGTGAGATGGGGGGATTGCATTGTTGGTGGGGATGGTGAGAGATCGAGCTCATTTTTAGCTCGCCACATGAAAAAGTGTGTTGAGTGACCACCGATGTAAGATATTCTAGTCATCGATTCTTGAATTATACATGGTTGGTCTTATTTGACGATTAATTAGGTGGATCGACAGTTTGAGTGATTTGATTGGTTGGCTAGGAAGCATGCTTGTTTGACTTCAATTTTGAGTCCGTGTTCTATATTTGCATTATGGGGTGAAGTATGTTGTTTGGTTGTTGATTAATTTTGATTGTCTTGCTTGAGGACAAGCAAGAATTTAGATTTGGGGAATTTGATAGGTCCTATTTTGCGCATGTTTTAGGTGGGTATCTAAGCTCATTTGATTACAAAATTAGAGATCTTTGGTGCATATTTGCATTATTTGCTTAAGTTGTGCTCTACTACTCTTCGTTTGTGTGTTTTGATGAATTTCAAGTGATTTATATGCAAATGGAGTTTTGTTGGCTAATATTGAGTATAATAATCATGGATTATGAAAACATATTGCTTAAGAATATCAAATCATGTGTTCGAGACGAACTTGAGTGAAAATGAAGCAAAACGTTGATGAAATACTTGACAAATATGATACCTGTTCACTATTATGCTCATAACTTTTGGTATACAAATGATAATGGAGTGATTCAAATTTCATTGGAAATTAGACTTGAAGACCTTTCCAACGATATATTACACGCCTCAAACGGAGCTCCGGATATGATGTTATGACTGATTTAAGATGAGTGATACGCGCAGCAGAGCAGGCACGTCCGTGCCCAGCACCAGGCACGTCCGTGCCTGGAAGTCAGTAGCCACAGCAGTTTATGCACGCATAGAGGCACGTCCGTGCCTATAGAGAGGCACGTCTGTGCCTCCTGGAGTCCTTGTGCGCCAAGAAAAGATGTTTATCTTTTTATCTTTCTAGGCCTATATATACATTAAGTATTGTTTTATTATTAATTAAGTTTTATTCTAGCCTATTATTTTACATTGTTAAGAACTATTCTCTATTTTATTTTCCTCTACTTTGTAATTCAAGATTCAAGATTTATACTTTCCACCTTCAATTTAATTCAAGATTCGGTATTTTCTTTTAATCTCTTGTTTCTTAATTATGTTTTCTTTAATTATTTTTGTTATTGTTTCTTTCAATATGTGTGAGTAGATTCCCTATTCCAAGATCTAGGGTAGCCCAATTATAATTGATGCATGAATTAAATCTTTAAATTCTATAATAACTTTTGCAATTGCTATGCTAAATTGATTGTGATTATGCCAATACTAGGTTAGACATAATTTAGTATTGCGATTATTCCATTGTTTCTATCACAGCGAGAGTTGGGTTTAAACGGATTTGAGTAGATCAATTTACGGTTTGATGTTAAACACGAGAGTAGTTGGGTTTGATAATTGGGAAGTTAGAGTAATGTGTTTAATGTCTCTAATAAGCATGATACCATGAGAATAGGCTTGATTGTATGTTAGGGAAGCTATTGATACTCGAGAGAGGTCCTTGGTATTTATTAGGGTTTACTTTTCCCCGTTCAATTGTAATCGTATGTTAGGGGTAGAAATATAATTGCATCATTCGTAATTGTGGTGATACTTGATCTTGGATGTTTTAATTACTTGATTTCTTCATATTCTTTAGTTTATTTTCGAATTTTCCATACATTAGTTCCTTAGTTAATCAATCATTACTGATTCTTGCTTAGTAGGAATTTGAGTCTATTTAATTATTTTTGAACCTTAGTCTCTTGGGATTCGACCCTTGCTTGCCAGTCTACATAGTAGTGGTTAGTTAGGTTATATTTTGTTAGGTACGCGACACGCCTACCAGAGAGAGACATGAGCTCTCACAAATTAGACATGAGTGGTATAGGTGTGAGTAAGTCTCCACCAAAAATATTTTTGTACAATTTATGATGAAATTTATGAAATTATAAATTGTTGTATGATATTCGGATCCATTTAACTTCTACGTGCACCCAAATTCTATCATGATATCAGAGTCGGAATATGATTACGAAGAATTTGAAGGCCAAAGGCTCAAGATATGAAGCATCTCAAGATCGACATTGAAGAGGATATGGAGGAAGAAAAAAGCAAAGGTATGTTTTTGTAAAGATTAATATTTTTGGAGAATATATCAAAAGAAAAATTTAAGTTAAAAACATTTGATAGAAAAACTAAGATTGAAGTACATCTTGATAAATATTATTGGAGTTTACTAATGACAAGAGCGTTAGCGAAGAAGGTTGGTGGCATGAGCACCAACAAAGTTAAATTGTTGGTAACATGAGTACCAACAAGAAAGTTGAAAAAGTTACAATTAAGGGGAGCAAGTTGGTAACACGGGTACCAACATAGACTAAAACATTGATGATCAACAAGATGTGATGAAGAAATAAAATTGGCATCGTTGGTAACATGGGTACCAACATAAAAGATCAACAATATATGTAGAAAATGAAGCAAATCAAGTGATGCTTGGTGACATGGGCATCAACATGCATAACAAGAAAACTTAGAAAAAAAAAATAAATTAAAAAAAATCAAGTTTGGAGATCATTGATGCATGAAAGAAGCACCAATGGAGTTTTTTCAACGAAGATTTTTCAAGATTAAGGGGGAGTATTAGAGGTTAATCTAAAAAAATCTAGATGTGCAAAAATCTAGTGTGTAGTTTAGAAAAAATCTAGAATGAAATATAAAAATCAAGAGAGGTTTGTATCTAGAAATATCTTGTAAAATATCAGAGATATTTGATGTAGAAAGATCTAGATACATGTAATATTAGACATGTGTAGAAAAATCTAGAGAGTGGAAAACAACCACTATAAATATGTTCAATGTGCATGGGTTAGAAGGGAGCTAATTAAGAGAGCTCTCATTGATGTGATGAGGGAAGTACTCACCAAGATAGAGAGAGACATGAGCTCTCACAAATTAGATATAAGTGGTGTAGGTGTAAGTAAGTCTCCACCAAAAATATTGTTGTACAATTTATGATGAAATTTATGAAATTATAAAATTGTTGTATAATATTAGGGTCCATTTAACTTCCGCGTGCGCCCAAATTCTATCAGAAGTGGTTCGAGAGTAACAGTTCAAAACGTATTTGGTTCAATTCGTTTCAGTTTCAGGTAGGGTTCAAATAGTTTGATTCGTTATGGGGTTACGCTCCTTACACCGGTTAATTTTACTTGATTAAGTTCGATTTCAAGTTTAAAGTTGTTCAGGTTGGCTTTCAATATTAAATAATCAAATTGGTTCAGTTCCCGACGGGTCGGGTTGTTAACGGGCAATTTCACAATTCAATTCAACAATGCTAGATAGATGTCACATATATGCAACAAGTTATATAATATGTTTTTTTTTTCTTTTGACCAGTACTTATATGTTAATCGTCAATGAAATGATTAATTCCAACAAATTGTGAACTTCGTTTTTTTAATGTATGATTGAACTGATATCGAAATAATTAATTTTAATACATATAATAAACAAATTTTGAAGTGAAGTGTCAAAATCTTCCATCGATATGCACCAACAAATTTAAAGTATAATGTTAAAGTATTTTGATCTAAGCTTTGCGTGAAGTTGTTTTTTTTAGTCAATAACAAGAGACATATTATTTGGAAGGGAATGTAGTTAGTAGTAACTAAAAAAAATCAAATAAAACCATACCAAATACATTGGTCACAATACATAAATTTATGCCATAATTCAGTGTATTATACAAGCAACCACTAAGCAAAATCATGACACAAAGTTTCAATAGTTTGATCTCAAACCTTAGAGAGAGATACATTACATAGAGATTGAGCCAAATTGTATCTCAATTTTATTCATTAAACTACAAAGAAATATATGTTGTTAGTACACTAACTAGTATTGGTATATTTCATTTGGTATAGTCAGTGTGTATGGGATGTTAGTTGTCAGTGGTTCAACATTATAAAACCCATGTTGCTCTTCAACCTGCAATTGTGGAAGGTAATGAAAAAGTTTATACACTGTAAACAATATCGATAATACCCTCTCCACTCAGAATTAATCGTCATACTAATATTGTAATATGAATTACTAATATGACAATTAAATTCGGATGGACCAAAATAAAGTATTTATTATAAGCAAAATGTCAAGGAATGATAAAAAATTAAGCAACCTTTTGTTGAAGATAGTTGTTCGCAGCCCTCAGGACACCCTCCTGAACAATCAAACCAAATAGATTTTCTATTAAATTAAGAAAACAATAAATTGTATAGAGTAAAAAGATTAGTATCATAACAAAAATAAAGAACTAAATCTAAGTATTTTATTTAAGCCTTTAGTTAACTAGAGAAAAAGCCTTTTAGTTTTCACTTCCATAAAGTATATGTTTAAAAGGTTATTTATTTAATAATTCTTATGTTTTATATTATTGCAACACCTAAATTTGCGTGTTTGTAAAACCAGGCCATAATATTAGCCTTTATGAATCTCTATTATATAAGTCAACTCTTGAGAAGTTATGCATTTAAATTATGTTATGCTTAATCCCTAGTTCTTCCTATATTTTATTTTTTTAGAAAAAAACATATACAACTTTCCAAAATATTAGCAAACTCAATTAAAGAACATAATTGCCAATTTAGAAGAAAAAAAAATACTCAGATAGATGATTTAAACTAACCTTGTTCTTCAGAACTTGAATCTCCTGAAACATAATTTTCATCTGCAATTGGATAATGGGTGTTTCGGATGAAAACAATCGAATCTCGGAAGATCCTTTTATCTTGAGGGAACTTGGTCTCGGTCCGAACAACGCAGGAGCCGAGGGTTTCCTGCACAACAAATACACGTAAACTAGCCTCGGGGGGGACGCCGAGGAAGGCCCCTCCGATGCTTAAGTCAGTATATTAGAGAGAGAAAGCTGTGCAAGAGTTTAGTTGCTTGAGGCTTTATTGTCTTACCAAGAATTGACCAAATTGTTGGCTTTTATACCTTGGCTAATGAAGGAGGCGGATTGGGCCCGGAAGTCAGTTGGGCTGGGCCAAGCTGATTGGGCCGTTGACTGACCTTGACATGGCTTTGAGGATGTTTGATTTTTGACTTTAGCACATTTGGAGAGTTGAACCTTAACCTTGGGCTTTTAATTGGATCATTCAGTGACCAGGCCCAATTGGACTAAATTGGACCCAAACAACTTGCCCCCCAAACCCGATTTGGAAGGATGACGGGTCGGGTTTGATTTAATCAGAAAAGGAGGGAAGTGAATGATTTGTTAATCCAAAAATGTGAATTTAAACCGTAATTAACCCATGATTAATGAGATAACAACAGTTAATGTGGATAATTGCGGAAGTTGGACGGGTAGTGGGCGACTTAACTGCAAGGTCGTGTGTTTAACGGTTACTTAGTGGGGTGCTTGAGAGAAATTGAAACGCAGACTCCTTGAATTCCCATTTCTGGAGATATAAATAGAGGCGCGTCTTCTCTCCCCACTCATTCATCAACACAAACCCAGAATTCTCAAGAACGCTCAAGAGCCCGCATCAAAACTTCGCAAATTCCCCGAGCATTAAGCTTAGAAGCTGAGACTTGTCACTACCAATTCGTAAATCGGCGGCTTTTGCTTCAGATCAAGGTAAATTCCTTTGATTTTATTTCATCTTTCTTCGACTTTGCACTCTTTCCCCTTTTTCGACTTTTTCCTTCGAAATTCGTCAATGGTGAGGGGAGTTAGAGGTGGAGCCCGTGCTCCAAGAAGAGCAAGGCTAATCCCCGATCCCAGGGACAGGATTGGGACCTGGAATGGACGAAGGACAGAGTCTGACCCTGCTGAAGGGGTTAGGGCGACTCCCATTTCTTCGGCTCCTCCTCAGAGAACGGATGAGCCGAGTGCTTCTGGACGGGACGATGAAATTCCCGCTGTCCTTTGGGATATCCTCCCTGGGTTTTCAGAGTGGGAGAATGCCGAAGTCGCTTCGGCCATGATAAAGAACCGCCCCTACTCATGGTGGGTAGAGAACGCCGATCAATATCGATTTGCCGAGCAAATTGAGTTGCACTACGGCATTTTTGAAGCTGATGGATATTGGTGCCGAATGCCCTCAGCATCCGATAGAATCCATCGTCCACCCCCGGGGTATGTGGGGGTGTACACGAGACAGCTTCAGTATGGGCTGAGGTTCCCTTTGGACGTTTTCGTCCGAGACTTGCTGATCCATTACAACATTTCCCTGTGCCAGCTGACCCCCACCAGCATCCGAAGGGTAATGACGTACTTATGGGTCTGCAAATTCTTCAGGTACGTGCCGAACCTGCATTGCTTCAAAAGGCTCCATCGGCTAGTGCCAAACATTCAAAGTGGGCACGGATGCCATGGCTCTGGGTGGTATCGGATTGAGTCTCGGCCCCCGTTCCTAACCATGTGGCCGAACGACTCTTCAGACAAGGACTGGAGAGGTCAATGGATTTGGGTTAGGGCACCCACGGAGCCGAGCCACCCTTACGTTTTCAGCGCTCCCCGGTATCTTGCCGAGCCGGATCCTGATATGGGAAGTTTAGGTCCTCCCGAAGATAGCGGGCCAGACCCGAACCTTAATCAGCAGAACATCTTCGGCAAGCTGCCGAACCGGGGAGGCAGCGGCCGAATGCAGCATATCCCGGAGACTTGGCTCCCCGATACGCACTATGTTTTCCAAGAGAATATGCTGGCAGCTGTCGGCCTCAGCCGAAAGTTTAGGGATGGTAATCTTCTTCGGCTGGGGCCGAGGCCTTTTAATTATCTCTTTTCTTCTTTCATTTTGCTTTCTTGTGATGTGCCGAACTAACTGAATTGACTTCTCCCCTTTTCTTTTTCAGAACGGGACGAGACCAACATCGGCATTGATTACGCTCGCCTTGGCGTCAACCGAGAACGAGTCGTAACTGATCGGGCTCCCCCTATCACTGAACCAAGGCGCCGAGAGGTTCACCTAGACTCTTCCCACTTCCAAATTGAGGCTGTTGCTCTGTATCAGAGGCAGAAGCCTTGGTGGAAGAAGAGAGATCCCTTGTTTCAGCTGCTGGAAGAAGAAGCTGAAGCTGCCCGTACAGCCGAAGAGGTTGCACGGGTTATTGAAGCTTGTGAAGGTGGAGAAGGGTCCTCCAGAGTTGCTGAAGAAGCTGCGGCTAGGGCAGCTGAAGAAGACGAGGCTTTGCTGAAGACCTCGGTGAGCCTTTAGACTTAACTTTGTCTTTCTTCTTTTTTTTTTTTTTACTCACACTCTTCTTCCCCCCTGTCTGTTACAGTCTGAAGAGAGTAACAGACACAGAGAAGGCAAAGCTCCTGTTCGTCCCGAAGATCAAATACAAGAGTCTTCAGACTCAGATATGGACGAGCAGCCCCTTCTGAAAAGGCGCCGAAGGATGGCCATCATCGGCCCTCATGACTTTCAGCAGAGGCCGATGACCATCGGCGTCGCAATAAGGGAACCTGAGGAAGGCAATGGATCGCCGAGGGTTCCCCAGCCAACACCCCAATCTCCTCAAAAGACCCCTCCGCCACCTCCTGAGATGGAGGTGGATCAGAGGACTCCCGAACCTAAGGGAGGGGTCCAAGAAGAAATCAAGGAGAGTGCTGCTGAGCACGGAAATAAAGATGCCGTGATGTCAAGTGCTGAAGGCTTCACGGCAGATATCGCAAGAGAGGTTGAGGCTTTCGTCCTCACCCCTGAAGAAGAGGAGGTCATAGTACTTGACTCCTCTGAGAAGGACGATGCTGAGACAACCAAAGCTAATCAAGCTCCATCGTCGTCCTTCCCTTCTTTCCAGACTCTGCATTCTGGAGAAATGGGTTTCTCGGCCCCCCGAATTCCAATCCCAGATCACATCTGGGACCTCATATGGGGTCAAAACCGAGAAGGAGCTGCAGCCTACTTCGGCAATTTTGCTGGCATGTCCGAAGTAGACAGGGCAAGGATCTGGTCGCTGAAGGCCACTGCTGGGATGGGCGAATCCAGTAGATCAGTTCCTGACCCAGCCAGGTCTAACCAACTGCTGATGATGCAGGTAATTTTCCTTCATTTCCTCCGAAATTCAGCTCTATTTTTTTCTTATTACTTATATTTTTTTTGTCTTCCTGTTTTCAGTTCGTGCACAATCAGACTCTCACTGTAGAGCTGATTGATACCCTACAAGATAGGGTAGACGCTGCTGTGCACGAAAGGAAGGTGGCTGAAGAGGAAGTTAAGCTTGCTAAGCTGAAGCAAGCAGCAGCTGAAGAGAAGCAGCAGGAGGTTGAGGAGTACGGTAAAAAAGCTGCCGAAGCTCTGAAAACCTTCTGCGATGCTATGGAGATGGAGGTTTTTCCCCCACTGATGGAAGGGGAAAAATTCCTCCAGGAGCATATGGGAGTGGACGTCTCCAAATTCAAGGCTGCTATTGAGAGCCGAATTCAAGAAGGAACTGCTGCACAAGCTGAAGTGCAGCAGCGTCTAGAGGCTCTTGAAGCCAGCCGAATGGCTGCTGAAGAGTTGCTCTTGGCCAAAGACGTCCAACTCTCAGAGGCTGCTGCTGCTGCTGAAGCTCAAAGAGCTAAATTCCAAGAGGCTGAGGATCAACTGCTGATCCAGAAAGTTGAAGTGGCCCAAGCTCAGACAAAGGCTTTCCAAATTCAGCAAGAGCTGAATGAGCTGAAGGGGTCCTCCTCCAAAGTCGCTGAACAGCTGAAGAAATCCAAGGAGGACTTGGAGGAGACCCAGAAGAAGCTGGCTGATGCTGAGGCTTTACTCAAAGTCCGTGTTTACACCCAAGAGGAATATGAGATGGGTTTCAGAAACGGATTCCGAGTATGCCGAAGACTCTGCCTTCATGCTGAGCCGAAGCTGGACTGGTCTAAATGTGCTGAGTGGGTCCAGAATCCCGAAGACCCTCACATGAAGTATGCAACTCCAGCTGAAGCTGAAATTCTTAAGGCTGAGGAAGCCGAAGAGGAAGCTGAAAGACTGGAGTTGGAAGCTGAGCAGAGGGAAAGGGAGGCTCGGCAAAGTGCAAAGCCCGCCTCTTCTGCTGCTGGGGCTGAGGCCACCATGGGACTCAACGCTGATCAGTCTGATCCTCCGGCTGAAGCATAGGAACTCGGGCAGTCGTCTTCAGAATCTTGCGGTTCATCATGTGCTTAACTTTAGACTTGCCGCTTTCTGAGTTTTTGCCTTTTGTTTTTTTTTGCTTCAGCTTGCCTTATCGTACAACAGCTTATTATATTTTTATTTTGCCTGTACGTATTTCGGCAGCTGTTACTTTCCGCTTGTGGGCGGCTGCCGACTATTTTTGTAATTCAACATTTTTATTTCAAAGAAGTTCACTTTCTCAGCTTTCTTGTGTATTTTTTTTTCTTCGCTTTACCAGTCTTCGCACTTTACTGCTTTCTTTGAATGATCTTTCAAATATTTGCTAAGTGCAGAACTTCGGCTAGCGAGAATCATTTCTGCTGAGACTTCTTTTTGCCGTTTGTACTCGGATGTTTTCAACTTGTGAAAAAACTGACATAAGTATCAAACTTCGGCTGAGCTGAAGGGTATTAGATCAGTTGTGCCATTTCTCTATTTCCCTCTGCCCCCCCAGAAATCTGAAGATGAGGTCTTCTGAATTCTGGAATGGCTGATAATTTTTCTCGGCTAAGCCGAGGATCTTTGAACACTTTGCTTTATTTTCTACATCTGTTTTTAAAGTACTGATTTCCCACCTGAG